TTTTGTTGCACATAAAGCAAACTTGCTTGAACAAAGCATTGTATCAGGTTTTGTTATCAAATATATACCATCCAAGGTAGGTAGTCCATGTCGGCCCAAACAATATCTCACTCTGTAGTTTGAGAGATGGCCTTGTTGCCTGCTGAAGAATATCCGTACCTCATTGCACAGTGCATCAGACACAGCAGGAACACTACCTGACTTCATATGTCATTGTCAAGAGATCCCCTTGTCTCTACCCTTCATCGTGTATTTATGGCACCCAAACCACCTACCCAACTCGTTACTGCTGTTTGCACTAGATTTTACACCGTAACACCTGAATCAGCTGGTTGCAGTAAGTCTTGAATGGCTGCTGATGGTGGCTGGCTGGAGAGACAGGTTACTCTCTCTTGGCTTTATGGGTAGGCAGCTGTTTTATCAGTACTGAGCTCTTCGCAAAAAGATTTGCCATGGTTGTGGATGGTAGATTTCTGCCAGAGAGATCAATGAAGGCAGTTATTTGGCGCTCTCTACCACCACCAGGGCGAGTGAGAGGTGAGGACAGCCTACCTGGAGGCTGAAGCTAGTCTCAGCAGTAGTGGTACCAGTCAGCAGCCAGTTATGTTAATTACGCACCCTATCTCTCTGGCCAAGTCACAGTCAGGCAGGTCAAGCTGTTTGGGAACAGGTTTTTTACATTTGTAATCCAACCTTTTAAAATATTTACTGTTTGCATTATAAAATCTATGTATGGTAGACATTTATTCATACTCTTAACATTTATTTAGTTGATTCCAGACTAGAGTAGGTTAGGATTTGAACATATTATTATTAAATGAATTCATTCTTTAGAATTTGGAAAGAATTATGAAGACTATGCCAAATATATCAGCTTCCTGCATTGCATAACAATGGATGCATTATGAATATGTAATTGATATAACACTTTCTGAGACAGATATTATATTGTTGTGTTATTATGTTCATTTTGAGCATGGATTTATTCCAGGAATCTGTCTTCTGTTTGACTGGCATTTGACAATACGTAGTGTCACATGGTCTGGTTCAAACAATAGCCATTGCTACACTAGCTTGAGATCTGGTAAAGGGGCAGGATTCCATGTTGTTTTCTCAGCTGGGCTGTTGCAAGTCCTTGCCATTTGAACCACTGTCCCCAAGCAGTTTCAAAGTGTTGTTTTCCACATTTTGGATACATTTAGCAGTTCCTGATGAGGGTCCATGGCCTTTTGCTGTGTCCCCAGTGAAACCAGCCTCCCCACCTTGGCTTCACCTTTTGCCTTTTAAAATGCATACAATATGTTGACTAGCTACAATAAGACATTCCTAACTGTTTTATTTCTCCTGTAAGAGTGTATTTTTGACTGCTTGAGACTTGGGAGAATATTTAGTCATATTTTCTTTGCTTTTTTTATGTTAAAAATGTGTTTTCCTTTCAGTTTTTTTGTGTCCGCATTTCAACACTGCTTCTCTGGCAGAATAGACCCCCTTGTAGCACATGCTTGTTTTGCAATGAGGTTAGCTTTGTATTTGATGACCCAAATGGGCAGCTGAGTATGGACGTTATTTGGAAAAGTGAAAACCTTTACTTTTGTGTTTTAATATTGACTGTCCCATGGCCGTGTTTGGCTGATACAGTGTGATTGCTGTACAAGACTAACATTGTTGTAATGTGACAGATGTAAGCCCTCCTTCACTAACTTTTCACTCTTCTCATGCACACTGCTAGATTTATAATTATATATCCTGTGGAACTGTTTGTCTTGATGACTTATGTTCATCAAAATCAAATTTGCTAAAGAAAGGTTTTCAAACTAGTTCCTGATATATGATATAGCACATCAACGTTTGTGTAAATAGCATTGAACTATAAGCAGAGCATTTAAGACTGAAGTTCATTTGACCAGCTTTGTGTCTCACTAGTTAAAAAGCTCCAGACTGTATAATGGAGAAACCCTGGTGTGTTTTCCCCTGCATGGCTAGTGCTATGGCTTGTTTCACTTTGTCCAGTAACTGTACAGTTGGGAAATACAAACTGATGAGCAGATCCTGTGAGGTTCCTCATTGTCACATCAACATATTACATGATAACTTAGATTGTTTATCATAGCATATATTATGCAGCCCCAGTGAAATTAAATTACCAAAATTCTGCAGTAAAAGCATAACCATTTCCCAAACAAACATGAATACAAACTCATGTTTTTCTTCAAAGTATTTTTTTTCTTGCATTCAGACACTTCAAGGTGTAAAAATGATGCAAATCATAGTGTCTGATACTTATTTATGGTTAGATGTAAACATAGTTTATGTAGTCGTAATACAACAGGAACATTTACAAGTGAGAATGATATGTTTTAAATTTCATTTTATTTTAGGGTTCATATCTTGCATGTTTGAATTGCATGTTACATGTCTGCGCATCATTGGAGTGCGAAAGTTGATAGAATAGCTTAAAATTTTGACAATTTGTCTGTGTCAAAGTGGGGCCGGTAGTCTTGTGGTTAAAGCCTTCGCTTGTCACGCCGGAAGGCCCGGGTTCGATTCCCGACATGGGTACAGTGTGTGAAGCCCATTTCTGGTGTCCCCTGCCCTGATATTGCTAGAATATTCCTATAAAAAAATAGCGGAGTAAAACCACTCTCTCTCACTCACTCACTCACTCACTCACTCACTCACTCACTCACTCACTCACTCACTCACTCACTCACTCACTCACTCACTCACTCACTCACTCACTCACTCACTCACTCACTGTTAAAGTGTCTCTTTGTAGAATGAGGCCCTGTTCTTTTAATTCAGAATTCATACTGTTTGGTAGATTTATTTGTTTGTTTTTTTCCAAAGTTTCTGTTATGATCTGAATCTTTTGTGACAAATGAAGATGCATCATTATTAAATGTACATGAGTTCTGTGTTGAGGTTTTGTAATCTGGTGGACTGCGTGATTGGTAGGCCTGTCCGGTGTGTGATGTAACTGCTGTGTGAGAGGGAGGTGGAGTCCTGAGCTAGGTAACATGGTGGTAACAGCAGCAGCAGAAACTATGTCTGGGACAGGAAACATAACTCGGCTTGATAGCCCCCTACCTTTGTCCAGCCAGTAATCACTAAGCAAATCTTCTACAAACTCACTCAGGCAGACAGCACACACAAAGGGTTAATTTTTATGTTGCACTCAATTGAACACGCTTTGATGATCTCGGGTTGTCATGACTCTTGGCGTTTTGATTGTAGTAGTCCACACAATACCAGAATGCTAGGTGTGAGATTTTACGAGACTAAATATGTACTCGTGTGGAAAAGAATTACAAAGAAAAGATCCTTTTATGATGGTATGTGGGCATCTTGTATATGTATCTACCTATCACCAACAACAGGATGCTTGCTTCACTTGGTTGATTTGTACTAGCTAGGTGAGGTAGCTTCTGTACTGCTGTATGATGTGCAACACAGTGGAATATTCACAGATTTGTTTGCACATATGCACTATACATCATTGTACAGGCATACTTTAGACATTCATTTTTTGTTATTGTAGAAAAGTCATTTTCATGACCCAAATATTGTAGTCATGTATAGACATGAAGTGATCTTTAGCACAGTTAAGTCATGGTACTTGAGTGTAGACATTGGGATGAGGAATCTAGCCACATGAAGACCATGTTGCTACAACTGCACACACAGGCAGTCAAACCCAGAGTTATGCTTTGAAGCTGCTGGAGGCAAATGCAAGCCATCTGGGGACTCCTTAGATGTTGTCCTGGAGGTGAGGTGTTGGCTGCAGCTAATACATTGCCTCTCTCTCCTCCTCTCTAAACCCACCCCCAACCCCTCCACTCCCCTCCCCTCCCCTCCCCTCCCCTCCCCTCCCCTGTAGCAAGCAACACGTTGTGGGTCTTGCATACCATTTCCCATTTTCTCCACAGCTGCTATTTACAGTTTGAGAAGGACTAGTCTACAATAGATGGTGTCCTCATCCATTGGCTACAATAGAATATGCACCATCTGCATGTACGTAACTTGTACTATACCACACAGCCCATTCCCCGTATGTCTAGTGGTAGAGCGAAAGGTCCAGTCTGAGTCACACTCTCACTCACACTCTCACACTCTCACACTCTCTCACTCTCTCACTCTCACACTCACACTCTCACACTGTCTCTCATGTTAAATGATGGTGCGCACACACACGCGTTCATTTGTGATAGTCGTAGGGCTGAGATTGCTTTCTTGAACATGGCTCTGGCTAATAGCGTGTACCTGACCATGGAAATTGTTGCTCTTGCTCAACCATTGATTTGTGTGGCACATAATTATTTCGAGGTACTGCAATGTGTATGTGATATTGCTGACTGAAAGTATTAACACTACTGCCCTTCTGTCAAGTTTTCCATCCTCACACAGAGTTCTTTCCCTGGTTGCAGTGACAGGTCATTGCACATCTCTCTTAACTATGATTATGACAAAAAGAAATGAAGTAAAGTATTGTAGCTGTAGTTCCAGTCCCAGTGCCTGCAGTTGACAGTGTGTTGTGGGTGTGGCAGGTTAGTGGCATTCAGCCTTCTGATGTGCGGCAGCAAGCTGGCAGGAAACACTGGAAACCACTATGGAGTTGAGTGGCTGTTTCATTCCGCCCTCTGAAGGTGGCTCAGCTTTCTTGCTCATGGCTAATTAGTGTTAATGATGCTGGTCTGAAAATAGAAGTTAACGGGGGGGGGGGAGTGTTTTATGTTTTATTAGGAAAACATGCTACAAAAGTTGAAATAAAAATAGAATAGTTACAGCCGTCAGGACAATTTACTTTTAACTATCAGGTTGGTTGCATTTAAATCTTTTAGATATTTCATTGTGTGTGTTCTGGGAAATAAATGTGATGTGTGTGCAGTTACCAAACTTGTATGATTAGATGGCTTTGTTTGTTGAGTTGAACAAGGGAAATATGTATTCCCTATGTTTCATGTTTTCACAGCATGTTGAATAATGTTTTATGTCAATTGCAGTGTGGAGCTCGAATGTCCAGTACTTTCCTAGTGTCAAATGGCAGTATTTCATCTCTACGTCGGGAATCCACAATGAATACCCAGCAAATGGTTTCCGCTGGGCGGAGGACTGCCGCAATGTTCACGATACCAGACACAGGTAGGTGCACACAGTCATCATTCTACTTTGAACACAGTCTCAAGACTCATCAAAGGGTGCCCACATGGGTTAAATTGAACTTTACAAATAATATTGATGTATCGATACACTCTCACTCTGCATATGTATTGAGAGATGGCTGATGTTACTATGGGGCAATGCCTCTAATGTAGTACAGTATATGCAGAGTGTACATGACACGCACTACTTACAACAGTTGCATGCAGTGTGTAGACAGACGAGCGGGAGAAGTCATGAGTGCAGAGCTGTCAACCATGTTTTCTCGAACCCTATTATCTCAAATGTACCAATATCTTTAGGGACACCCATTCTCTGGTCCTGACTGCCTTACAATAGCCTGTGTTCGCGTCTCTTGCAATAATGGGAATTCCCGACCCTTGCGAAATAGGAATTCCCGAATCGAAAGCGATGGTGTGATCTATTTTCTACCCTCCCCTACCTTTTGAGTACAGTATGGCAGTTATCACAAATCATGTAGGAAAGCGCCCTCAAGTTGTGTCATTGTGTACAACTTGATGATCACTTGAGACAATGAACATTTGAGAAGACTTAAATTTCCTTAATTGAAATCTACATGTGTGCCAATTTTTTCTTTAAATAGAATATTGTTTGCCCTATTGGTCTAGTAACCATTGAGAAGAAAAGAAATCACAATAATATCACAAAGATATGTGTGCTTTAGCCAAGAGTCTCCAAACTGAAAGCACCCAACTTTCCCCAGCAAGCGATTTTCGGATTTTCAGGAACACCAGCTTCTAAGAAATTAAACTGTTCCAGTCCATTGCAATGCTATGAGTGCATTTTCCCAAAACGTTCCCTTTGAAAATATTCATAATTATTGAAACTATTGGCGTGTGGTCAATAAGAACGTTGTCATGATACAAACAAACTGATACAATATTATGTCATAGCATATTATTGTCATGTATGACATTCGTTTAACATTCGTTTCTCGATGCAATTGTCCTAAAAGTAATCACTCATGATTATTTTCCGCTGGCAACCATGACACGAAAAGATTTGTATATATATGTTTGTCAATATACATACATATATCTTTTTACATTGAAAATATTCCATCCTCATGAGCAACAATCAGTTCCATCTCGCCCCTCCCCTCCATGATCTATAATTGGTCATAAAATGTACTTACAGATAAACATGTAGAACTGTTGTTGTTTTATAGTTCTGTCAACAAAGTTATGGTGTCCACATCTGTAGTTAGAAGTTCCACTTGATTCATGGCAATGAGTGATTAAACTGTGGAATTCAGATATATATTTTGTATTTCTACAAGTATGAGTATACAGTATATACATAGAATGCAATATGCAATTGAAAGTAGCAGTGACGATATGAACAATCTCCTCATAATGACTGTTTGCTGCTCCAGTAGTACACATCAAGTACTGATAAAAAGGAGCAGGTAGTGTACCCTATCAAGTTCATGAGTACTGGAAGCTGTCACTTTTATTCAAATGACTGGGCTAAAAGCAAATTTGACAATTGACACCTTACATACATCAAATACAATGTAAGTGAAGTCTTCTTTTGATGATGTTGTTGCTGTATATATAACCCAGGTCCACTTGATGAAGGGCCTTGATCCATCCTGTGAAATGAGAATACAATGAAATTAGTTAAAATATACTTTACCCCTCTCTGAATATCCTCTGACACCACTTAAATGCTACATTAATATGCCCAGTATTGATAGCATAAAAATGTTATAAGCCATGTTATTTATTTGAAATACATTGCCATTATTGTTCTTGTTCACCTTGAGCAGTATTTTCTTAATCTCAAGTGTGTAAAACTTGTTTGTCATCTTGTTGTCAGTTGTTTTCCTCACATCAAGGACAGATAACTCTAAGTCGCTGACACATCTCTGTTTAAGGTCCGATTTCTGTAGGCTATATAAGTTTGAAAATAGCAAAAAATGTGTTTTCAAGCAAAGGATTGATTACTTTGAGCGTGTTTTCCCATACTCCATGAAAAAATTAATTGTATCATTTTTGGCATACGTTTGAAAAGAACATCATTGACTTTCAGTGCTCGATCTGAGGCTACAGAACTTGTCGGTTCTGGGTTCTAAAATGTACCGTGTTGTCTTGGCATACTCAGTTGGTAGGTAGTTACAACTATCCGGATTTTCACACGTGTCCCCTTGACCAAATGCCTACTGCACACTTTAGAATTCTGTGACAGAATGTTTAAGCCACTCGGTACCATCAGTATTCACACGTAGGGATTGACTTAGGCCACCATTCCGCGATATTCTCGCATAGTTGTCATAGATATTACATCACCATTCATTCAGTGTCATTGAAAATCGCTTACATCTTTCAATAGTTTTGTCTGCTTTGACACTCTTACAAAAATAAAAAATGTTGTATTGCTTGAATAAAATTATCTACAGTACCTAAAAATGTTAATTAAAAGCTTACACGATAGTTTATTCAATCATCAAAAGTTGTTAATCGAAACAGGGATTTGCATACTTGCAACACTGCATGCTATCTCTTACTGTGCATAACCGATTCCTTTATCATTGCATGGAGCTTCACAATGACTGACAATGATAGAGTGCACAACAGAAAGTGGGATTTAGATTTTTAAGAATATGCTACAATACGTTTGCTTACAGATTTGTCTATAAAAATTGAAAACTGTGACTTAATCAGTCAGATGTAACGCATAAACATCATGAATGTCAACAGTCTTTTCAACTTCCGGTGACCTTTTTCTGGCTGCTGCACAAGGCAAGCACACTGCCTTCTGTGGTAAACAAAATGACTTAATTGTTGTTATTAAACAAAAGGGTGAACCTGGAGCTATAGTCATTGTATAATGAACTGTCACTTCTAATTGAAAAGTCCATATTGATAAAATTTCATTTGATCTGAAACAATATCAGACAGAAATAACACAGTGAATGAAAATATAATAAGTTATGTGAACAAGCTGTAACACCATTTACAACAGTCGCTATTTCATGTCATCACTTTGAATATTATAAATTACGATCTATACACACATTGTCAAAGACCTAGAGATTGTTGTCTTCTGCATGCCTGAAGTTGACAGTGCAATATATTTTGAGTCACAAATACCGAAAATCAAATACAGTTTTCACTGTTTGTAGATGAACTATTTCTGAAAATTAACAAAGTCTCATCACTATCTTATGGTTATTAATTTATTTCAGTAATGTATAGTAAAATACTACTAAAACAACACGATATTGTTATTAATTATGCCTAAGAAAATAATAGTTTCAGATGCAATTCTTTTCCATCATTGTATCAAAACTTCTTTAAAGTTAAATAATTGGGTAATTTATTAACCGAATCATGGGTAGATTGTGAGAAACGTGTGTAGTACAACTGATTGCTACTTCCGGCGTAGTTTACAAGAAAATACACACGGTAATCTTAATCTCTGCATATAAAACAATGCCAAGCAGAACAGGAAATACAATTTAATCGGTAAATAATCATGTCTAGTGGTTTTTTTATCTACACTTTTATTGATCAATTTGTATTGGCCAAGTTTAATTGTTATGATCTGTTCTTTACCTGTAGTCGCTGAAGGGATACAATGTAATTTTTTTCTGCGGAACACAAACACGTTTTTATCGCAAATGTAGGGATTATGTATGCTCAAGTGACGTGCTTCATTCCTATTCGCTTTTATAGACGGGATATATAAATTAGCATTTTAAAGGCTTGTACAGGGGGGTCAACTTATATGTGGGGTTGCTTTAATGAAAGCGATGTACGGCACAATAGCATACTCCCATGGTCACCCACATAATATCTCATTTCATATTGACGGCGCTGTTCACCTGTACAAGATGAGGGTAGAAATTGGGTCAGAGCCTCATTTTAAAAGGGCTTTCCTCCAGGGTATGAATAACTCAAAAATAATGCTATATGATGTTCAGGCCTCATTATCTCAAAAGTCCGGAAGTTACATCACGGTTCCCCTCTAGCTTCGAGATGACGGGGTTTGACTGTATACAACATCAGCGTAGCTAGTCAGAAATGTGGCTGGTAGCAGTTGTGCCCCTAGGTACCTAGCTTAAACCTAGCTAGGCTGATGACAGGATGTAATTTCTCTGGAACAAGGCTTAAATAGAATGTCACATGAGGATAAATATAATCAGAACAATAAGGAACAACTTGCCAAGCTTGTTTAGACTTAAAACATAAAACAATAGATAAGAATTAATCTGTCAATCTCATGAGGTTAGCATCTGTGTGCTAAGTGGCGAAACAAGCCTAATTAGGTTTCAAATGTATATGAATATGAGCTTGGCTAGAGAGGTAAGTTTTGCATTAAATGGTAGACTGAACTGAAGTGATCGCAAGGACAACTCTCCCCATGGTGTCTTTTCTCATTGTTACTGGGTGACATCTCTTATTCACCTCATCTGGGTGTGCAGTTAGGGCTAGAATGTATTAAAAATGATTTTGAAAGAGTTCTGACCTTACTGTTTGAATATCACTAGTCCTTTTATATGAGAGCAAATGTTGCATTTTGTAGCGTTTAAGTTAATTCTAGCATTTTATTTTTGGAAACTTGTATATTTTTACAAATTGACACCATCAAGGAAATAAAAAGTTGCTATTCAGTTTTGACATAATTTTGTGCTTGTGTTTGGTTTAAACTGGATTCTATCATATACCTATACTGCATTTCAGAGGAAATGTATGTCTGAGTCCTCGCTGCATCAATTGTTGTTTCCTTTCAGAGAACTTAACAAAGTGACACTTGATTCAATTGTCGGATGAATATGTAGTTCCCCATGCAACACAATTTTCACGAAGTTAATTGTTGCCCAGAGCATTGCATGTTGATATAATGGTTCCCCATACTCATCTCTGACATCACTGGCAGTTGCAGAGATAAGTGTAGTAATAAATATGTTTAGAATAATGTTAGAAACACTTTTTTTTCATATTGTTTGTGTAAAC